GGGGATGTGCCTGCAACCAAGGCACATGCCCTTGACTGGAATCGAACCTGGGACACTTGAGTCCACAGGCTGACGCTCTATCCACTGAGCCAAACCAGTCAGGGCTATTTATTATTTTTTTTAAAAAATATGTTTAATTGATTTTTTCACAGAGAGGAAGGGAGAGGGATAGAGAGCCAGAAACATCTATCAGCTGCCCCCTGCATGCCCCCCACTGGGGATGTGCCCACAACCAAGGTACATGCCCTTGACTGGAATCGAACCTGGGACCCTTCAGTCCGCAGGCCGACGCTCTATCCACTGAGCCAAACCACTTAGTGCTGAGTCATCCCTTTAATCTCCCATATCAGTGACTACAACAGCAGCTCACAGGTTCCTTTGGGGAAACTACATTACCCAGAGGGCAACGCGTCCAACCATGGCGTGTTGAGCCAATGAAAGCCCAGGAAACCGAGCGTTTCAATGTTGCGCTTGAGGTTAGGGCGGGACTTCCGGGGCCCTCAGTTGGGCCAGTTCGGCGGGTTCAATGAATGAGAGCGCCGGGGTCGGACTGAGAAGGCGCCGGAGGGTCGGCCAGCGGGTCCCAAGCTGGTAGAACCGCCCCGGTCCCGGTTCGGGGGCCTCGGAGCCTCCCCACCCGCTGAGTCCGATGACGGAGGCCGCGCCCAGGCGCCCGGCTGAGGTGAGCGTGTCCCCGGGGCCGCCCCGCAGCCCAGAGGCGGGCGCCCGTCTCTCTGCGGCCCAGGCCCCGCGTCAGGACCGCGTGGAGCTCAGGGGTGACCCCGGGTGTGAGGGGCTGAGGGCCGCCGAGGACAGCCGCAGGGGCCGCCGAAAGCCGGGGAGAATTCCGGGAAAACCCGGTCCCTGAATTTGTGCCTAAAGCAACGGAAGATGCGGCGGAGGCGGGTCCGGGGGGGAGTTTCACTTTCCTGCTCCGGGGGCCGGCCGCCGGGGGTGGTTGGTGAACAAAGAGGGGCCTTGAAGCCCCGAGGCGGGCGGGCATCACCCCCCGGGCGGGCCAGGGCCCTGAGCAGCCGGAGCCCCTGGGTCCTGGGGTGGGTGCCCGGCCCTCAGCCCTTTAGTTCCCACCGGTCCTTGCGGGTGCAGAGAAGCTGAGGGTACGGGGCTATGGGGCTACTGTCAGGCCTCACTCTCTGGTGGCCTCTGAGGTCGTGGGATCCTCACCGTCGGCCCCTCTTCCCGCCCTGGGACCTGAAGACACTCAGCCCAGAGTCCTGAGGCCACGGCTGGGGCTTTATGACGTGGACCCTGGTTCTGGCAACGAGTGGAGTGAGAGGTGGGGGGTCCTCCCAGCCCTAGTTCCTATGTGTGGGGTCTGAGAGGTGGGGCTGGGCTGGTTTGGGGACCCGCGGGTATCCTTTCGTTCTTGTGGGAGCTAAGACGAGTGGGACAGGAGTGAGGACTAGACCAGCTTTGTGACAAGTTGGGTGTCTGTCTGGGACATTGGCAGCCCTGGAGGCATTGGCAGCCCTGGAGGCAGGGGATCTGACCCAGGTCTCCTTAGGCTCCTGTGGCTGCAGCATGGAGAGCGGTTTGGTGGGAGGGAGGTGGGCGGACGACCAGGGAGGGGCTGCTGCCATAGTCTGGGTGAGTGTGACGCTAACTGGACCAGGAGGGTGGCCGCAGAGGTAGGAGAAGCATCTGGATTCTAGATCACTATTTTACGTGTGGGCACCTGGATTTTTAAAAATTATTTTATGAATTGACTAGAGGCCCGGTGCGAGAAATTCGTGCACTCGGGGGTCCCTCAGCCCTGCCTGCGCCCTCTCACAGTCCCCGCAGGGCGCGGGCCTAAGCCAGCAGTCGGACATCCTTAGTTCTGCCACAGAAGCTGGAGAGGCTCCCGCTCAGGGCTGTGAGCCCAGCTTCTGGCTGAGCAGTGCTTCCCCTGTGGGAGCGCACTGACCACCAGGGGGCAGCTTTTGCATTGAGCGTCTGCCCCCTGGTGGTCAGTGTGCATTATAGTGATTGATCATTCCACTGCTTGGTCAATTTGCATATTAGCCTTTGATTATATAGGATTTCAGAGAGAGAGGAAGGGTGGGGAGACATTGACTTATTATTCTACTTATGCATTCACTGGTTGATTTTTATACGTGCCTTGACATGGGATTGAACCTGCAACCTTGGTTTATTGTGACGATGCTCCAGCCAACTAAGCAACCCAGCCAGGGCACAACCTGGAATTTCTAATTTGAAGGGAGAGAGAGAGAAAGAGAGAGAGAGAGAGAGAGAGGTAAGAGTCACGTTTAACATGTCGGTATGGTTTTAGCAGCTGTAGGAATGGAAGTACCATCAACTGTGAGGAAATCAGTAGTATGAAGAGTAACTTTCTTTAGGAGATACCAGAGTTTTATGTTTGGCCTGTTAAGGGCATGAGATGAGGAGGAGTTCAGGATGGTGTCTGGAGAGAACAATGGAGAAACCCCTTAGAATTACCTGAAAAGAGGGGTTGTTGTGGTCTCGTGTGCCAGGTTCAGAGCTTACATGCCATTTATCTGCCCACCTGCCCGATGCTGTTGAGGGCTGATGTGCTGGCCAATAGGACCTTGATGGGACAGTGGGCATCGGTGCCACTGGGCCATGAAAATGCACTGGCATGGGGAAGGGAGAAGATTTTAAAAAACAAATTAAGACAATTAATATGCAGATGGTAGTGTTAAAGGGATGGCCTCAGGACCCTGGGGTTAGTTTAGGGCAGTGGTTTGCAAACTCATTAGTTAACAGAGCCAAATATCAACAGTACAACAATTGAAATTTCTTTTGAGAGCCAAATTTTTAAAACTTAAACTATATAGGTAGTTAGGGTACTCCTAAGGCTTAGGAAGAGCCACATTCAAGGAGCCAAAGAGCCGCATGTGGCTCGCGAGCCTCAGTTTGCCGACCACGGGTTTAGGGTCATATGGGTGAAAATTAATGTCATGTTTGTTTCGTGGAGGGACAATCTGGGCGCCCACAATGGTATTGCCCCAGAATTCCAGTGTCAAATCATTCACAATCGTCCCCAAAACAAACTTTCCTTTCCAGTCTTTGTTTGTGACACTCACCATGTTAACAAGATGCAATGTGGCCCACATGCCAGACCCAGAGCTCATGTAACATTTATCCACCCATCTGCCTGATGTTGTTTTGGGAAGACACAGTGTCATTCAGAATACAAGAAGAGCCCTAACTGGTTTGGCTCATTGGATAGAGCGTCGGCCTGTGGACTCAGGGGTCCCAGGTTCGATTCCGGTCAAGGGCATGTACCTTGGTTGCGGGCACATCCCCAGTGGGGAGTGGACAGGAGGCAGCTGATTGATGTTTCTCTCTCATCAATGATTCTAACTCTCTATCCCTCTCCCTTCCTCTGTGTAAACAATCAATAAAACTTATTTAAGAAAAAAAAAAAAAAAAAATATATATATATATATATATATATATATATATATATGGAGACTCTGATGGCACCAAGCCCTGGAATATTTTCTGAGGTGGGGAGTGGAGTGAGCAGATGGATGTGGAGGTTGAGGGGATGAAAAACTTGGAATCCTAGGAAGGAACTGATCATGGGCTGTACTGTCCCCATTATGACAGGAGATGAACTTTGAGGACGTGGCCATCGCCTTCTCCCAGGAAGAGTGGGGGCTCCTTGATGCGGCTCAGAGACTTCTGTACTGCGAGGAGATGCTGGAAGTGTTTGCACTTGTAGCCTCCGTGGGTAAGACGTTTACATCTCTTTAGGTGTCCTGAGGCGATGTCTGTCCTTACCTGTTTTCTCCAAAATAGCGTTGTCTCCCCCACAGGCAGATCATGGGCCCTGCTAAATTCTCAGTTTCCTTTCATATGTGCTGTGTCTGCCGGTGCTGGGCTGTGTGGAGTGCCCTGAGCAAATGAGGCCTTGAGCACCCCTTACACCTGTTGCCTCAAAAATTGCCCTAGCTGGTTTGCTCAGTGGGTAGAGCGTTGGCCTGTGGACTGAAGGGTCCCGGGTTCGATTTCAGTCAAGGGCACATGACCAGGTTGCATTCCCCAGTAGGCAGTGTACAGGAGGCAGCTGCTTCGATTAATTGTTCTCTGTAATCATTGATGTTTCTATCTCTCTCTCCCTCTCCCTTCCTCTCTGAAATCAATAAAAAAAAAAAGTTGTAGTGAAGTGTCTTTGAGTCAGGAGTCTTGCAGACAGCTTAACAGGTCCCACTTTGCTTACCGTCTCCATGGCAACATGACCAAGTCCAGGTCCATGGCCTCCAGTTCTTCCCTCTTCCTCTAGCTGAAGGTTCTATTTGATGGCCTGTGCCAGGTCATGGTCATTACTTACATGAACCTTGGGCTATTCTTGTAAGGTCCTTCTTCCATTGTTGTTTTTAATATTTTCTTCCCTGAATATTATATGCCGAATTGCTCCGGTCCTGTGCCGGCTCTTCACCTCTGTTGTCTTTCATTAAGACTTGCATCATTTAAGTTCTGAATACAGTGGGGCCTTGACTTACGAGTTTAATTCGTTCTGTGATGGAGCTCGTAGCTCAAATTACTCATATGTCAAATCACTGTGAGGTTCACTGCGCCAACTAGCGGTGGGGTATCTGAAGCTGGCTCGTAACCCGAATTTTAGCTCGAAACTCAAAGCAAAAAATGGGCCGAGAGTATCTCGAAAAACTCCTTAGTCGGGACACTCGTAAGTCTAGGCCCCACTGTAGTTGTAAAAGGTGCAACTACTCCGAGAATAGAAGCTGCAGGGTGAGTAACATGGCTTTTTTTCACATGGCAGACATGGCAACATGGTCTCAGAGGAGGCCTGGCCGTGATGATTGGTGACTATGGGAGGGCATGACCTAAGGGCTGTCTTCACATCAGACCAGGAACCTACACTGTGTCATGTCGTGTTTTGGTGCAAGTGCCACTGGCCACACCTCATTTCTACCTGTTCATTTTCACGTTTGACACTTTGCTGACTTGTCTAGAACTTTTCTAGAATTTTATCTAGAGCTTTTCAGTTTCTGCCAACCTTCCCCTTTGTGGCTTCCGTGCATCACCTGTTTTTTCTGTGCTGCTCCCTCAGCAGTAACTGCTCCCTCCGACAATGACCTGCGCCTGCGTTACAATGTGTGTGTGCATCCTTGAGTGGTATTTGAGCCCCAGCTGCACACGTACTGAATTTGACTGGGAAAAGGCTATGACCAACCTCTGCCCAGCTGGCTCATGTCAGCGGCAGACAGGCCCTTCTGAACGCGATTAGCAGAACCAAGGTTTGGAGATCCTGCTTCTGTTCCACGTGCTTGCATGCAACCCCTGTGTCCTTTCCCCAGGGAGGTCTCCCCTGCTTTGTGATCTTCTGAGGCCCAGGACTGCACAGCACCTTATTCGACCAGCCTCTAGGTCTTGTGTTTTCAGACAATCCCATTCACCAGTGTATTGAAAGTGACACGTTTTTGTAATGGGACTTCCCCCTCCCAGTAAAGTCAACGTTCATTTCCTCATCGTTGCTCTGTTTTCAGGTTGTTGCCATAAAACGGATGACGAGGAGGCCTGTTCTGAGCAGAGTGTGTCTGTAGAAGGAGAGTCACAGGTCAGGGCGTCTGAGACAGCTCCAGCCGCTGAGAAAACACATGCCTGTGAGCGTTGTGTCTTGGTCTTGAAAGATATTCTGCACCTGACTGAGGGCCAAGCAGCCTACCTTGAGCAGCGAGCCTTCTTCAGTGACACATACGTGAGAGGATTCTGTCTCCCTGCACACGTTCACCAGCAGCAGAGGGAAGCCCGGGGAGAGAAGGCCGGGAAAGGGCTCAGGGCCTCGTTTAGGACCTGGTCCACCTCCGTATCCATGGCGCCTTTCCCCTGTAGGGAGGTTGGGAAGGACCTTCCAGCCATTTCAGGCGGTTGCCAGCATCAGGCTTCTCCTCACAGTGCAGAGCCACCCAGTGGCGGTGAGAGTGGGCTGGGCGCTCTCAGTGGGAAAAGTCATCACGAGTCGGGTGGATGTGAAAAAGCCGCCCGCCACAGCCAGAAACTTGTTCGGCGTCAAAGTGTCTGCTCTGGAGAAGGGCTTGGTGACTGCAGCAAATGTGGGACAGATGTTAGACAAACGTCAAGCCTCATTCAACATAGGAGAGTTCACACTCAAGAATGGCCTCGTGAGTGTAGTGATTGTGGGAAGTCCTTCAGCCAAACCTCTGGACTCATTCAACACCACCGAATTCACACTGGAGAGAAGCCCTATGGGTGTAGTGACGGTGGGAAGTCCTTTAGCCGAAGGTCTTTACTTAAACACCAGAGAGTTCACCTTGGAGAAAAGCCATTTGAGTGTAGTTATTGTGGAAAGTCCTTCAGACACAGATCTAAACTCATTGACCACCACAGAGGTCACACTGGTGAAAGGCCTTATGAGTGTAGTAAGTGTGGGAAATCTTTTAGGCGCAAAGATCACCTCCTTAAGCACGAGAGATTTCACACCGGAGAAAAGCCTTATAAGTGCAGCGAATGTGGGAAAAGCTTTAGACGAAACTATAACCTCCGTCAACATAGGAAAGTTCACACTGGAGAAAAGCTATATGAGTGTCGTGACTGTGGGAAGTCTTTCATCCAGAACTCGAGCCTCACTGAACACCAGAGGTGTCACACTGGAGAAAAGCCATATGAGTGCAGTGTGTGTGGGAAATGCTTTGGACACCGCTGGAGTCTTATTCAACACCGTCAAGTTCATTCAGGAAAAAATCCTTTTGAGTGTAGTGAATGTGGGAAGTCTTTTAACCGCAAATCCCAACTTATCAGACACAAGACTGTTCACACTGGAGAAAAGCCATATGCATGTTGTGTCCGTGGAGATTCTTTTAGCCTAAGTTCTGCCCTCATTCAGCACCAGAAAGTTCACACTGGAGAAAAGCCATATGAGTGTAGTGATTGTGGAAAGTCCTTCACTTGTAGCTCTAAGCTCATTGAACACCACAGAGGTCACACGGGTGAAAGGCCTTACGAGTGCAGGAAATGTGGGCAATCTTTTAGGCGCAAAGATTACCTCCTGAACCATGAGAGAGTTCACTCTGGAGAAAAGCCTTACGAATGCAGTGAATGTGGGAAAACCTTTGGAAGAAAGTATAACCTCTTCCAACATAGGAAAGTTCACACAGGAGAAAAGCCGTATGGCTGTAGTGACTGCGGGAAGTCATTCAGCCTAAAAGGTAGCCTCACTGAACACCAGAGGTGTCACACTGGAGAAAAGCCATATGAGTGCAGTGTGTGCGGGAAATGCTTTAGACAGCGCAGCAGTCTTAGTCAACACCTTCGTGTTCATTCTGGAAAAAATCCTTTGGAGTGTAGTGAATGTGGGAAATCTTTTAACCTGAAATCTCAACTTATTAGACACAAGCGTGTTCACACTTTAGAAAAATTGTAGGAGTGTAGTGAATATGGAAAATCCTTAAGCCAAAATTCTGCCCTCATTCAACAACAGAGACTATACAGTGGAGAAAAGCCACTACATATGAGTGTAGTTATTGTGGGAAGTCCTTAAACCAAAGATCTGCACTCAACAGGTCACACTGGAGAAAAGCTGAATTAGTGTAGTGATTGTTGGAAGGCTCTCAGAGCTCTAAGCTAAGTGAACCCCACAGTGGCTACACTGGAGAAAGGCCTTATGAATGTAGTGAATCCAAAGTTTTTTAGACAAAGTTCTAGTCTTTTCCAACACCACAGAGTTCACAGTAGATAAAAGCCTTATGAGTGAAGTGAATGGGGGAACCATTTTGGACAATTTTTTTTGGTTAATCCTCACCCAAGGATATTTATTCCATTGGTTTTCAGAGAGGGTGGAAGGCGAGAAGGGAGGGAGAGAGAGAGAAACATCAGTGTGAAAGGGAAACATTGACTGGTTGCCTCCTGCACATACTCCCACTGGATTGGTGGTGGGGATGAAACCCACAGCTCTTTAATACGCAGATTGATGATCTAATCACTGAGCAACACTGTAAGAGACTGGACAATTTTCTAAATTATGGTTTTACAAAGGAAGTAGAAAGACACATTGATTTATTGTCCACTTGTTAATGCATTCATTATTTGACCCCTTTATGTGCCCAGATTGAAGATCAAAATCACAACTTTGGTGTATCAAAATAACGTTTTTATCAACTGAACGATGCAGTCAGGGCTGGACAAATCTTTTTTTTTTCTTTTAATCCTCACCTAAGCATATTTTTCCATTAAAATAAAAATTTAAAGAAAAAAAATATATGTGATTGATTTCAGAGAGGCAGAAACATCAATAATGAGAGAGAATCACTGATTGGCTGTGTCCTGCATGCCCCACACGGAATTGAGCCCATAACCCAGGCATGTGCCCTGACTTGGAATCAAACTGTGACTTCCTGGTTCATAGGTCAACGATCAACCACTGAGCCAGGCTCCATTGATTTTTTCAGAGTATGTGGAAGGGAGGGGTAGAGACTGAGAAACATCCATGTGAGATGTATCCATCAATTGGCTTCCTCCTCCATGTGCCCTAACCAGGGCCTGCAACTGAGATATGTGCCCTTCACCGGAAATGAACCTGACACCCTCCAGTCCACGGGCTGGACAAATCTTTACCCTCATTTGATACAGGAAAGCTTACTCTGGAGAAATGCCTTATCAGCACAGTGACTGTGGGCAGATTCTTTAAGACAAAGTTCCAACCTTATTCAACAGCAGAGAGTTTGTTCTGGAGAAAGGCATTATGTATGTGGTGGATGAGGGAAATCCTTTAGCCCTTCCTCTAGCCCAGTGGTTCTCAACCTTCCTAATGCCGCGACCCTTTAATACAGTTCCTCGTGTTGTGGTGACCCCCAATTTCATTGTTACAAATTGAACATAATTAAAGCATAGTGATTAATCACAAAAACAATATGGAATTATATATGTGTTCTCCGATGGTCTTAGGCGACCCCTGTGAAAGGGTCGTTTGACTCCCAAAGGGGTCGCGACCCACAGGTTGAGAACCGCTGGTCTAGGATTAGCATCGCTGTTCTGTTATCTGCACCCATAGCAATGCTTTCCTTCCACTGATGCAGTTGTTCCCCTTCCCTTTCTCATGAATGCCCATTGCTTCTACCTCCCAATGGGAACACTATTTTGGCTTCTGCCTGAATCAGTGCTTCCCAAGTAGCTATTATTGATCTCAAATAAATGCTTGTACCTGCCTTTGAAAGGCCTGACCAGAATCGAACCCGCAACCTTTTGGCATAGAGAGAGAGTTGCTCCAACTAACTGAGCCACCAGCCAAAGGCCAAAAGGCCACTAGTTTTGGAGATTAACAAGAAGAAGCACTCCAGTTAGTCACTTGCTTCAGAGAACCCCAACCTCCTGCCTCCTCCTCCCACTCCACAGCCCTGTCTGGAGACAATCCTCTTACCCCTGACCCAACTGAATCTCACAAAACTGCCTTAAAGCTCCCCTCTACACATCGTTAAAAAACAAGGAAATCGGCCCTGCCGCAGTGGCTCAGTGGTTGAGCCTCAACCTATGAACCAGGAGGTCAAGGTTTGATTCTGGGTCAGGGCACAGGCCCGGGTTGCGGGCTGGATCCCAGTGTGGGGCGCGCAGGAGGCAGCCAGTCAATGATTCTCTCATCATTGATGTTTCTATCTCCCTCTCCCTCTCTTTTCCTCTCCAAAATCAATTTAAGAAGTATATAAAAAACTCACTTTCTACCCTGGCCAGTTTGGCTTGGTGTATAGAGCGTCGGCCTGCGGACTGAAGGGTCCCAGGTTTGATTCTGGTCAAGGGCATATGCCCGGGTTGTGGGCTCGATCCCCCAGTGGGGGGCCTGCAGGAGGCAGCCAATCGATGATTCTCTCTCATCATTGATGTTTCTATCTCTCCCTCTTCCTTCCTCTCTGAAATCAATAAAAATATTTTTTAAAAAACCTCACTTTCTAAAATAGTGGCCTCCTGCCCTAACCGGTGTTGCTCAGTGGATAGAGCATCGGCCTGTGGACTGAAGGGTTCCGGGTTCGATTCCGATCAAGGGCATGACCTTGGTTTCGGGCACATCCCCAGTAGGGAGTGTGCAGGAGGCAGCTGATAGATGTTTCTCTCTCATCGATGTTTCTAACTCTCTATCCCTCTCCCTTCCTCTCTGTAAAAAATCAATAAAATATATTTTTTAAAAAATAATAAAATAGTGGCCTCCTAACCAAAAACCAAACCGGAGCGGACTCTGGTATTTCATGTGGCACGGTTGTGTCCTGTAGCTTTGGGGACTATCTCAGGGAAT